CTAATGTGATGATAGTCACAAGAGTTGGTGACTATGAGATATCAATCACATTTATAGTAATATTATTAAAATTCCCTAGTTTTTGTACTAATGAAATAGGACATCTTTAGTACGGTAAAACTAGTACACAGTTAGCCTCTAATTAATGTAATTAGTGGTTGTTCTCATCAACTATGGTATAAAGATACTTAGGCTAATGTGTAGATGATTTGAAAAGTACAAATGCATTGGAGTGATCCGTTTAGAGATCCCGTTAGGATATCTATCTAGTGCCAATGGTGTATCTCTAGTGAAAAATTGTGTAAGTGATCCTGCGACTTGAGATCACCATAGTATCTTGAGTGTGAATCGCTACATTTTGACTCTATTTACTTGTTACTCTTCGTGAGTACCTTAAAGTGTAGAAGTTGGATGTAGTGTGAAGCACGTAAAGAAAATGGGTGATCAAGATAGGATTTACCACTCTGATAGAAGGAGTTGATATCCGGATGGCCACTAGTGAGAAATTAACCCTAAAGTCGACTATTAGGTAAATTGAAGAATGTCTTCAATTTAACCTAATTAAGGGTAAATTTCGGGAACTAGAAAATTTAATTAGTCATCAGGAATTGGCACTTATTCCTTATTCCTGACTGATTGGATATCTTTGGTGAAAGGATAATAATTACACGGTAATTTTTCACGGAAAGGTTAGGTCAAATTCCCTTGACTAATTCCGAATAATTGGGCAGTCGCGATGTGTTGCTAGACACCGCTCGTGATTTATAATTATGGGTTAATTATTTATTATAAGTTATGATAAAATAAAGTTGTTTATTTTATCTAATTATTAAACCATAATTATTACTAATACATTCGGGACCTATTGGGTCACACGCAATAGAGATTGAATCCTGGATTAAAACTATGTAAAATGTCGGGGTTTAATTTTAAAAGAAAATTAATCCCAGGCCTATTTGAGCAGATAAGAGTAAATGGTTATCTCTTATCTATCAGATAATGATAGATAGAGTCTTATGTGATGAGAAGTCGGAGGTTTTTGTTTTTGAATCAAACAAGAAGACTAATCAATCTATCATATGAGATACATCTCTCTCTTTCTCCGATGATTTTTTTTTTTTTGGGTTTAGCTGAGATACAGAAAGAGTGTGTGAGCGCAGTGTGAGCGTCACATACGAGAGAGAGAAAATTATACGTTCGAAGAGAGTAAAAAGGCTAGCACCTTTTCTCTTCAATACATAGTTCGTGAGACGATCCAGGGTTGCTCTAGCGTGGATATCAGTAGAGACAGTTAGATTGGACTGCTCAAGGGCTGACCATCCTCAAACAACGCTGCAAGGAGACGCCGCTTGGATTAAGGTAATCCTAAAACCCTACTTTTAGTACATCATACGTAAAATCTAGGGTGATTCCTGGATGGTTTTAGGGAAATTTTTTTTTATTTTTCCGCTGCGTAGTGTCCCTAAAACCATCTCATAGAATTAGTCCAAAAATCCATCAAAATCAAGGAGTTTGTAAGCTTGCAAGATCAGAGGAAAATCTGATAAACAATCTAAAAAAAGTGGCTTGTGTCCAAAGAATATTAGTTTTGAAGCTTGTATTTGCACGTTGGTCCTAAAAAGTATTATTATACCTGCTTGGTAGAGAAGCACAAGCACTTTGCAGGTGCCCCAAAAAACCACTGGAAGCAGATGATAGTGGCCCCATACGAGCATAAGTTGCCATCATTTTATCCAGAGCAATGTTGGCTGCCACCCCAAACAGAATGTCTACAGCGAACAATTTAGACAAAAACTCCTTCCCCTTCTTCTGAAGTCCGGAAAATATTGAAGAAGAATAGCGAGTGACCACCTACAACACATGACACTGAAGTTATATATGATAGCAAATATAAAAAAAAAATGGATAAACTAGTGAAACCAAAATGGAAAGTTGACTACAAAAGGCCAGTGTACAAGCTAGATTTCAACCTTCAATCAACAGCTTGTTCCTCTAAGTTTACATAAGCTGCATTTTAGCATATTTCAATACTTTCTAGCAAATGCAAGACAACACAGTTGCACAAAGAATGGTAATCATGCTGGCTGAGATCACTAAACTTTAAGAATCCCAAGTATATCATATTGAGCATTTTCATGAGAAAAGTAGGCCGTGACAAACAATGAACAGACCCCAAGCCCAAGTCCCACGTCTCCTTCTCTCATCGTCAAAATAAGAAGAGGAATAAGAAGCTGAAACAACAACGGCTAGGGACACTGAACAATGCTACAAGAACTAAAGTGAGCAATTCAGTCTTGCCAAGCAACAGAATGAACAGACGTGAATAAATTGCCCTACAATTTCTTCACATATTTACCTCTGTCACAGCTTTAAACAGAAATGGATCAGCAAGCTCAGGATTTCTAAGTATCCAGCAGGACGTCATCAAGAAACCCACGCTTGAGTTTGATAAAAAATTTTATCACCTAAACAAAATTTTTATCAGCTCCTAAAGTCATGTTTTGAGAGGTTAAAGTTCAGAGTTTATTAGGTAAACACACCATAGATGATAGAACCACAGCTTAAACGGGCCAAATCGACTAGGGTTGGAGTAGTCTCATCCAATATTAGTGTGTTAAACATTTTGTCTAATTGAAGAACTTTGACATAAATTTCAAGATCATATGGCAACAATACTAAATATGAACCTTGCACCTGTGGGTGGCTGAGAATGGCCCCAGACTTGATGAATTTTCACTGTCTAAGCATGTAGTACTTTGTGAAAGGTACATCTCTTTCTCCACTTGGCTGGTTGTGCATGCATATAATATGAGGCTAAAAGGACCAATTTGGTTTGCTTCTTGAATGCTACTAATGTGTTACTATATTGAAATTAGTGTATTTTTTTTTCTATTCATTGAATTTTCGCCAATAATATATTCATAGTGCTAACATATTGGTGTCTCAATTTTAAAATCATGGCTTATGTATACTTAAACGGAGTACAGACCCGAAAAGAAAGAAAGTAATACTTAAACAATGATGATGATAAATTGAGCCAATTATGCGAGTGACCATTAAACTTTTTGAAGAGTCAAGATTTGACCGCTCAACTATTAATCGTATGTTTTTATCCATTGAACAACCAAATGTGTAAATTTTGAGCCATTCTATCTGATTCCACAGTTAACTTTGCTAGATTTAAGCGTCCACATGATTTACGAGACATACTATTAATAGTTAGATCTAGGAGAGTTAACGGTAGGATCAGATGAAATGGTATAAAATTTTTACTTTTGATAGTTTAATAGGTAAAAACATACTATTGATAATTAAGTGGCCAAAACTCGACTACTCAAAAAATTTAGTGACTACTCAGATAATTTGTTCTAATAAATTATAATCATAACTAAACCTCATATTGCTGTAACAAAAGCACTGTTCGTGTTAACTCAAGTATTTAGAGTGCATGTAACTCAAGTGTTTAACTAGTGTTAACTCAAGTACAGTGCATGTAAACATGTGTAGGTACTAGTACACATGTAAACAAGTGCTAACATATCCTTGTAGTTCTTTCTTTTGCCCTTGCCTGGGCCATATTTGTGAGTTTTAAAAGTTTCACTACCTTTGGAAAGGAATTTTCCATATGGTATTAATTGGTCAGACATGAATCTGTTAACAACTGGGGCACATAACCAATCATTACTTTAAATTTGATGATTGAGATTCATTGTGGCTTAAATATAAATACTCCAAGGATAGGTTTTTGTTTTTGAGAAAAGTCCAAAAATCCTTTTTTCCTCCTCATTTTGTGAGAAGCTCATTCAAGTCCCCCATTTGATAGAAAAACTTTTTCCTTCCGTCCAGTATCGGCCCTAACATGTAGTTCCTCAATTACCCTCAGATGGATAGTGATTTTTGTGCCGGCAAGGTTCTAATCGGTCCAAATTAGGTTAAAATAAAGTTGATGGACGAAATTAAATTAAATAAAAATGTTGAAGGACTAAAATAGCCACGTTCCCCTTTTCTTTTTAACTTTTAATGTTAGAGAAAGAGGCTTGGTTTGTTGATACAGGTCAAATTACTCGGGTAGGCATTAAACTTTTTTAATAGTCAAGAATTCACCACTCAATTATTAATAATATATTTTTATCCACTGAACTATCAAAAGTGTGAATTTTGAATCAGTCCGTCTAATTTCACCGTTAATTCTACTAAATCTAAGGATCTGCATGATTCACGACACATACTATTAATAGTTAGATCTAACAAAATTAGCAGTAAAATTAGACAAAATTGTCCAAAATTTACAATTTCAAAATAGTTAGATCTAACAAAATTAAGTGAAATCAGACAAAATTGTCCAAAATTTACACTTTCAATAGTTTAACAGGTAAAAACATACTATTAACGGTCAAATGGTTTCGATTAAGGCGCCGGTCCTGGTTTCGATTCCGAGCTTGGGCAGCCTGGGGTATTTTCTCGAGGATCGGTGGGGCCCGCTCTCCTCGGGGTTAAGGGACTAGTCGGGTGTAGGCCCGGATACCCTTAACTGAAAAAAAAAAAAAAAAAAAAAAAACGGTCAAATGGTCAAAAATCGACCATTCAAAAAGTTTAACCGCTTCCTGGATGATTTGCTTCATATAATATGGAGTTGGACGGCCAGAGTTCTGTAGCGTCTCCTGCCTTCTATTGGTAATTTATAAACCATGATAAAAGAAAAAAACAAGTAAAAGACGAGAGCACCTTATACACGAGAGATTTGGAAATTTTCCTTCTAAATATTTCTAAAATATGTTTTTTCAATCACTTTCTTAACCAACTTCTTAGCTCAAAGTTTGTATAGTATCATTGTTTAAAAATGCTTCCAAAGAAAACAACTCAATCAAAGCATTGCTATTGTTATAGCGCACACGGGTCCGTCATACTGACAGCAGAAAACTTTATCAATAAGTAAACCAAGCTTGATTTTAATGAAAGTTTGAGTTAGCTTAAACCATAAACAAGCGAAAACCATTGGAAAGCACAAAAAAACTCATTCAGTCCTACCATTCTAAAACTCATTCAGCCACCAGCGAGGTTTCATACATCTCTGCCAACGCAAATCTACATTATTGAATCCAAATGTTCTCGCGTTTATGTCATTAAGTCCTACTTTGAAACCAAGATGTTACAACAACAGCACAACATGATGTAGATTGGCAATTGCACAAATTCTACTAGTACAAGATGTTACAACAACAGCAGAACATAATAACAGAAAAGAAAAAGGAGAGAGAGAGAGTGCGTGTAAGAAGATGCAAAAACTCCAAGGGACGAGTCGAGAATCAAGATTCGCTCTTCATGATCCCACTCCATTTTGCCCAGTTAGCAAACAGCAGCCCGCCAAATACACTGTTGGCGAATCGTATGCCTACTGCAAAAGCCAGAGCAGTAAATAGGACCTGCTTTGCAACAGATGATGCTTTAATCTGTTTTTCCAATCCTTTAACAATCTGATGACGCGTATCTGATGAAAGCGGAAGGAAAACACCTGGTGGTAAATGAGAATAATGAATTATAGCAAATAAATGCAAAGGAGCAACTCTTTGGTCAAAGGTTCTTCCAGAGGGTGCCCATTTTAGCTCGTATCAAAGTTTCATTCACAATGCTAGTGGGATTGAATCACAAAGATATAGGAGATCGGATTGCTGCCTCTCTCTCACACATGACCAAATCATCATCAGACATAGATATGCAGAAAAATGGATATTTAAATCGAGTAGTAAGAGGTAACATACCCAGAGAGTAACATTTTTCACTATAGAGGAAACCAGATTTTCCTCTTCTGACTTCTTGGCATTCCTGTAACATCAACAGGGAAAAACTGCATAAATCTCCTGCAACAGCATACAGCAATACTACTAAGTTTTCTAGTCATCTGAACCAGAACTCTGCTAGGATCATGAGAAACCACTTATGCTTATAAGACCTGTTAGACTATGGGTCTATAGTCGGATAAATAATCATTCCACAGCCAGCTCTATAATTTCTCGAAGTTTTTATGCTTGTTGAATGCATACAATATGGGTTTATTGGGTTGTCAAACCTTAGTTCCCTGTAATTTATAGTTCATAGTCCAGACTCTATGAGTAATAACGCGATAAAAAATTTTATCTCTTCTTCAGTTTCACTTGGGGGTCTGGTAACTGCAGTAAACAAGCCGAATTATTCTTTGAGAATTAAACCTTACTGTTTGACCCTCAGTAAGAGCCTCACGATGACTTTCCAGCTATGATGATGGTTTTCTTTGATTTCAGTACCCCAATGAATAACAACAGTATAACAAGAAGTATTTCAAAAATCAAAGCATAGAAACCTCCATTTCATAGTGTAATAGCAAGTTTTAAGAAGAAATTGTCCAGTTAGAAACTTTACCGGTTCCAGTCCTGATTAAATTAACTATGGCATGATAAATAAGCCCACAACCAAGTCCAGCTGTGCCAAACAGATACCCTGGATAGAGTGTGAGAATTAAGTAGTCAATGAACAGAGTCAGTAAACGAGAATCAGATGTGGATTCTGCCATCAAATATCAAAAAATAAACATAATTAAAAAAAAAGTAATGCAAGTGTGCAATATAGAGAAATCGCCAACAACCAGCCTAGACAAGAACACTTCTAATCTGCAATTTGTTGAAGTACTGAAAGTCAATAGATACGTATATAACAATCATTACCTCATAAAAGTAGGTGAGACCCTGTTGCTGCAAAGAAATGTTGAATCCTGGACTTCCACCTTCAAAAATACTATCACAAAAATATTCACAATCAAAATAATTGAATAGTCAGTCATAACAGCGAGCAAGAAGCACAGATTCTGCTAACTCAATAAACTCAAAAGGTCTAAGAAGAGAAAAGGGTATAAGCATAGAAGTTTTTATTTTGACACCCAGGGCAGATGCAACCTTAACTGAGTGATATATAAACTGTAGTTTAGGTAAAACCTATTCAAAGGATCAAAGCTAGGATTAGTAACTAGTAAGATACATTCAGCTGATAATTTACTATTCGGGGTCTAGGACAAAATGCAGTTGCATAATTCTTCCATTGAATTGAGAAGGGAAAACTCCCAAATCCTTGTACTTGGGGAGTACTCTTCAATTTATCAGACTGTGCCATGCAAACTGGTAACTAAGCTATAAATCTCAATTGTACAATGCAGAAACTGGATTTACTTCGGCTGGACACCACCCAATTGTACTGCATAAAAACAATAACCTCCAGGTTTTGACCTACAAGTTACAACAATATCCTAACCTCCATAACTATGTCTAGTCAGTCATGACAAAGGTTGGGCAAAATGTAACAGTGATGCTCATTTATAAGTCATATGCGTATTTTGTGGGCTTTGGCATCTTAAGATGACTCCAAACTGGGACACATAGAACAACAGTTATTTACATCTTTTACACCTGACATTCAATTCAAGGTTCGTAACTTAAAGCTTTTGAATCACAATAACTATGTTTTTTCTATGCAAAATTTTATCAACAGCAGTTTACTCCCTAAAACATCTTTGGTTTTCAGCTACCCATATATCAGATAAAAAATTAATATCCTTGCCTCCTATAGGTCCAAAATCATTACCATCAAGTGTGAGAAGACAATAGAATCCAGTAATGTCAGAATATTTATTATAGAATGAGTATAAATAATCATCAAGATCAAGGAGTTCATAAGATCGCAGATCGGAGAGAATTCCAATGAACATATTAAAAAGTAGCCGCAGGCAGCCCAGAGGATTGTAGTTTTTGTAGCTTGTATCTGAGCATTTATCATAAAGGTACAATACCTGCTCGTAGGGAAGAATAGGCACGTTGCATGTGCCCAAAAAAACCACCAGAAGCAGATGGCATCAGCCCATACGAGCATAAGTTGCCAGCACACCACCAAAGCAATGTCAACTGTAATCCCAAACAGAATGTCTGCAGCAAACAATCTGGACCAAAACTCCATCCCCTTCTTCTTCAGTTCTGCAAATGTTGAAAAACAAGAACCAGTGACTACCTATAACACATGACAGTGCAGATACATATCATAGCAACCATGAAAGAGAAAATTAATAAATTAAATAAACTTGTTCAACCAAACTGGAAAGCCCATTAGAAAGGGCTAGCGCAATGGCTAGATTTTAACCTTTAAATCCAGAGATTACTCCTTTAGGTTCATTTCTGTTGCATTTTAGAATATTTCAGAACTTTCTAACAACTGCAACAATAAACAGTTGCTGAAACAATGATCATCATGCTAGCCGAGATCAATAACCTTCATGTTTCTGATGTAAATCATATCGAGCAATTCCACAAGAAATGCAGGCCCTGACAGGCTATGCATAACCCCAGGCCAAGCCCCAACTTCTTTCCCTCAAATATTAAAGAGAAGAATAAGAAGCTAAAACAACAGCAATAACAACACCCACTCATCACACCGCAAGAACTCAAATGAGCAATGAGTCTTATCAAGCAACAGAACATGAACAGACATGCCTCATATAAAACTACTGAGTCTAAGCAGAGAAGATCATCTGCAAAGTAAGCCAGAGTATACATAACCACCATAATTGGCAAACTCTATATGCTACAGAGCCTTCATTACAGCAGACCACCACAACCTTATACTTGTTCCCTCCCAAATTTCTACTGTCAAGGAATTTTACCAAGCCTCATTTCCATTTTGTTTTGCACATAACGACAAGTTTAGAAACCAGTAGGAACTCTATAACTAACCTGTGTTGCAATACCAACTTTAAACAGAAGAGATGGATCAGCAAGAATAGGATTCCCAAGGATCCAGCAGGACGCCACCAACAATCCAAATCTGGACATCAACCCCTGCATTTCATCAAACTATTAACAAAGAGGGCCATCTGAAAAGTGCTGAATTGAATTTACCAAGCAACACCAATATGCAGAGCAGCAGATGTATGAAATTATAAAGAAGAAATTGAATTTCCAGCCAACATTAATTACCAGGGTCCCCATGGACTTGGCGGCAGCTTCAGCCTTGGCGGCTTCAGCATTAGCATTGGCTTCAACCCTCATCTTTTCAGCTGCAGCCTTCATAAACCGTGAGAACTGGTCATCATAAACGTCCCCATCATCATCATCTTTTCCTCCTCCACCACGGGCACCGCCAGATGGTGGCAATCGTCCGTTGCCATTGCCACCATCTCCGCCACTTCCAGCTTCAATTGTGGGTCTCGACCGAATCTCCGGGCCTATGTGCTGACTCAAGTGGCTACCATTGAAGATAATGTTACTTTGTGAGATAATATTAATGTTAATTGGTTCGGGAGGAAACGGGCTACTGGAAGCCATCCCAAATCGGACGTGCTGGGTTGGAGATTGTTTGCGGAGAATTCGAGAATAAAATGTTTTGGAAACGGATCGCACATTTATTAGTTCTGAACCACCATTAGCAGCTCTTTGTACATCCCACCACGGCCGAAGTAAATCACTCGGGACTCCAGTAATACAGGCGCCTTTCAGATGATCTCGCAAAATCATCTCAATAGGCTTCCCAGCCCAATACCTTTTGTAGTGATCTTCCGAAACTCTAATCCCAGTTCTGCGTTCTTCAAAACCCTCTAAAGCCTCGAACAGCTCTTGCAGATACCGATCCCGATAACAGTTGCAGCCATCTCTCACAACGCCATTTTGAATTATCGATTCCCTTAAACCCTCAACGCCAATCAGATATAAGTGGTGGCTATCTTCAAGATTCAGGTCACGGCAGTAGACATCTTCCCCAAATCCGTTTCCAATCATGGGTTCAACTAAAACCTCAGAAGAACAACGAATTATCAACCGATTGCTAGGCCTGGTACCGGAACAGGAAAGCTTTAACGTCGGTACGCTGCTATATATGCCATCCGGCGCTGCATATTGGGGGTTTAAGGGTTGCAGCGGAGCTCTGTTTGGTTAAGACACAGGATGCAGCTGAGCTGCGAAATTAATATTGCGGGAAGAAGTAGAGCACATGTTGGTACTGATGAGCGAGCTGCTGAATGAGCAAATCAAAGCTCCAGGCCGCAGATTCTGCGAGCCGCAGCAGAATCCGAATCGAATGTTTGGCTGGGCTTCTAGTTCTGCATTTAATGTGTCGTAGGATTCTGCAAAAGCCCCCGAATAGGTAGGGTTTTGTCAGGGAGTTGGACCCCAAAACAAAAATGACGGCGTTGGTGCCAGGCGCTAATATTTCGTTGGCGTGGCATTTCCGGATTCCAATTTTCTTGGATACTTGGACGGCCCAGGGTTGAGAGGTCATAGCTGACCAGACTAATTTTGTTTGGATTATGGATAACTTGTTTGTAACATATAGTGTGTAGGTCCGTTCAACCTTTAATATATATATATAATTTTTTTAGTGGCTAAAGTTGATTTTTTAAAAATTAAATGTTCTACTTTCAAATTCTCTCTTCATCTTTCTCTATTTACATTTTGTAGTTTTCCAAAGCCTCCTAGATTTAAGTTTGGCTATTGTTTTTATCTCAAATAATTTTGATTATGATTTCATTTTTAGTCGTGTTTTTTAGTAAATTGTGACATATAAAACGAACCTCTTACGTTTAATTTTCACTTTCTCTAAGGAAAACTTAGAATTATGAGAACTCCATTTTAATAGCTAATTCCCAATTGAGAAAAATGCAGTTTTGGTACCTAAACTATGACGCAGGAGCGGTTTTAGTCCCCAAATTTTGGACGAAAGCAAATGTGGTACCCGATCTTTCAAATTTTGAGCACATTAAGTACCTTTGACGATTTTTTCTCAAATTGCTACCGGAAAAAGTCATGTGACAGTCACATGTCCGGCCACAAATTGTATAAAAAATGGCCAAAAAAATATCAAATGCCATTCTAATACTAAATATTAAATTTAAGGACTAATAACATAATAAACAAAAAATCCAAGGACCCAAGGACTAAATAACATCATGAGTCAATTAAAAAATAAAAAAAGAAGACATCACATAGTATCTGTTTCGTTCCTCTTGCTTCGCTCTCCAATAGAAAACCCAATTATCATCCGGATTACTTTGGGAAAGTTGGTATGAGGTACTTCCACAAGCTCCGTAACAAATTCCATTGCCTCATTGTCAACATCGATAAGCTCTGGTCTTTGGTTCCTCAAGAAGCTAAGGACAAAGCTACCAAGGACAACATCCCTTTGATTGATATCACCCAGTTCGGATACTTTAAGGTTATGGGTAAGGGAGTTTTGCCTGAAAATCAACCTGTTGTTGTTAAGGTCAAGCTGGTTTCCAAGACTGCTAAGAAGAAGATTAAGGAAGCTGGTGGGGCTGTTGTTCTCACTGCTTAAGTTGTTTGTTTCTTGGATTTACGAAGTCTGAGGTTCTATTAGTAGTATTATAATTTGGCACTTTTTTGGATTTACCCCTTTAATTTTGTTGTTATGAAATGAATGTTGTATTGGACCCTTTTTATGGATGTTTTTAATGTATTCAGCAGATTAATTTCTGCATTATGGATGGGAAAAAAAAAGAATTCTTTGGGATTGATGTACTGGAATTGGAGCTCATTTGTGACTTGATTATGTACTGGAATTAGTCAAGTACATGCCTTGTTCAAGCATGGATATTACGTGATTATGCTAAACAAAAGACTAATGCCCTGTTTTAACATGGTTTTATACTAAGAGAAAACGCCGAACCCACTGGTTTTTCCAATGCACAGAAATGACAGCCTGCTTTAATTGTTTCGCGAGATGAAGTTATGTAAGCGTTGCTTCCATCTGAACTTCTAACCAACTGAACAGATTGCTGCAATTTCACTTCTACATTTTTGTTTTTCAACCAGCCTAAAGTCTTGTTGGAAGCTTTGGATCCAATAAACTCTAGCAACCTAGGTCTATCATGCACCAAAACAACCTTCTTTTCTGGAAAATCAACAGCAATTTCTGCAGCAAGTTCAACTCCAGTAGGACTCACAAAGTTACCACAATAAGTAAACTCATCAAGTTCCAGTGAACTAAAATCTTACAAACAATTGCACAGAGTCAAAACACTACAAAATAATATGTCCAATCCAACTGGTTAATCCAACAAAATGACTTTCCAGTAACACGGTGATGTTACATAAGGTACCAAATATGATGCAGTTGTACAAAAGCATTGTTACAAGGGATAATGTTCATTAAGATAGATTCACTTCACGCAGCCTCAATTTCATTAGCCATTGGAAGATCCCCCAGCAGATTGACCACCAATAATATTTGTTATTGTACAAGACTTTTGTATCTCTTATATGAAAATTGGGAACTTGGATTGGATCAGGTTGACTCATATATGGCATCTGAGGCAATGGAATGTTCTTGGGTTTCTATTGAGAGCGAAGCAAGAGGAACGAAACAGATACTATGTGGTTGTCTTTCTTTTATTTTTTAATTGACTCATGATGTTATTTAGTCCTTGGGTCGCTTGATTTTTTGTTTATTACGTTATTAGTCCTTAAATTTAATATTTAGTATTAGAATGGCATTTGACATTTTTTTGGCCCTTTTTTATACAATTGTGGCCGGACATGTGACTGTCACATGACTTTTTCCGGTAGCAATTTGAGAAAAAATCGTCAAGGTACTTAAATGTGCTCAAAATTTGAAAGATCGGGTATCACATTTGCTTTCGTCCAAAATTTGGGGATTAAACCGCTCCTGCATCATATAGTTTAGGTACCAAAACTGCATTTTTCTCTTCCCAATTCTCGCCTACTTTACCTCCTCATTCTCACATTGCAATCACAAATCGAACATCTTAAGAGATGCTGCAAAACATTTCACACCTATGTATAGATGCTGAAACTCACCAAAAACTTTTATGGTCTCCAAACGTGTAACCAAAACGTTAATGCTCGTGTGCACCAGCAAATGTGCATATTTAATCTTTGAATATTTTCTTAAAATTAATTCTCTTGCACTTAACATAATTATTATTGAAAAGAAATTGGCCAAATATTAATTGGTCATACGTGAAAATGTCACCAATTTGCCAATTGGAGCTGTCAGTAGTTCAAAATGATGATGGTTGAGATTCACTGTGGACCAAATGATTGCTTATATACGACTTGATTCTTTGGTCAAAGGCATTGATGCTAGTGAACTAACAAATTGTGATCCATCAATTACACCTTCTTACACTTTCAATTGATAAGAAAAAAAAGAATTCAATTTATCACCACAAAAAAAAAAAAAAATGGAGTCACAAAATTACTGCACATCCTTACATTGTTGAAATTAGGTGCCACTCCTCAAAAACAAACTATTATGTCCTATAATACTAAACACTTCTCTGGCACAATTGAACCCTTTTAAACTGCTAGTTAAAAAAAAAAAAAATACTCCTTCATCCATATATTTAGTCATGTTTGGGGATATGTCCTTTTTATGCATAGCATACTCACAAAAAAAAAAATTCCTTTTGTTCAAATTTTGCCCTTAATCATGTGCTGATCAAATAAAAGTAGAAAACAATCCATCATGTTTGTCTTTATCATCATTATTGAAGGCAAAGAGAAATTTCAGTGTACAAAGTAGTTAAAAATGTCAAATATGCAAATATTTTGGAACAGCCAAAAGAAAAGTATGATACTTTCGATGAGACGGAAGAGTACTACTTTCTGACAAAAATAATTCTAATCATTTTAATATATTTTATATTAGTTGCAATGTGCGCTCAAGCACTAATAATAATAAGCTCCTTCTAACGTTAATATCCAAAGTAGGCGTAGTTCTCTTTTAGACAAAATTTCCAAAAAAGAAATAATAATTGGGGCATTGAAAAACCTCTGAACTTTAACATGTCAGAACCCTTATCATGTTGGGCTTTTCCTATCTTATCATTAGTTCTATCCCTCATCATCTTGTCTGCCTCTTTCAATCAGAACTTCACAAGAAATCGTTTTCCAGATTACATGAATAATTACATATAAATAATCTTTTTCCTAGATTTTGTCTTTGAAAGTGTACAAGAACTCTTTGTAAAATTAGAACTTAAATAATTTGTAATCGTGCATATGGTAACTTATGAATTATGGTAACTTATCTCAAAATTTGATATTGGAAAATTAAAAAGGCGTTTTATAGTAACTTTTCATTAAGGATGACCAGTAAGAAAGGCAAACAGTTAATAGAGAGGAAGGAAAAGAACAAGATGCTCTTCAGGTATTGCACCATGCAATGCAATAAATGAAAGATTTGATGCGCAGTTGAATATAGCCTTAGACCTTTTTGTTGATAATTTATTCAGTTAGCATTTTGGAGGGATTTGAATCTTACATTTGTATTAATTTCTTACTTGTTGGAGCCACTTACATTTAGGGAGTTAATGTGGCTGCTCTCTTGTAAATATGTCATTTTTTTATAGTGATAAAAGAGTAAATATGCATTTTTTATAGTAAATATATCATTTCTTTTTACATGAAGTTCATGTTAATCATTTCCTTGACTTGAAGGTGTTTTTTATGTATGGTATCTTATTTTATATAAGAAGGAAGGATACAAATGAAAAAAAATGATCTTGTTTGTCCAGTATTAATTTGGTCAGCCATCAAATTAATTTTTTTTTCCTTAGCCTTCATCAGGGACCTTGCTGAAGTAGACAAATAATGAAGTTTTACGTACTTGAAAAAAAAAATAAAATGAAAATGATAGAAGTTTGGGTTATTCTCTTTAGCTAACTGTAATGAAAATTGGCCTTTGTTCTGATTTCTGTTAGATTGACATACCAAACCATTATTTCCATCTAAGCTCAAAGTAATTTCATCATCCATCAACTCATCCTTCCTTCCTCCACCCCCAAAAAAAAAAAAATCATCCTTCAAAACACTAAATACATGTTTTCAGCCCAAAGGGGTCCAAATCCACAACCTTAAATTTTAGTTGGGAATTATGGCCATTTGCTATGAGTTTTTTTTTCACAAATAATATGTCAATATACAATTTTAATTGAGGCCGGCATCACCAAATTTTATGTCCTTTATATATAGGATAACTTTTTTTTATACGCTATCAGGGTATATTTTCTTTTTTTCACTGTCAGATTTAGTTCATCTCACATTAAATGAATTTAAATTTGAAATTTAAACATTCACATGTGGTATACATTCAAAATTGTTAGTAAAGAAATTGC